GGGCGCGAGAGAGAGCCAGAGCACGAGGGCGCGAGAGAGAGCCAGAGGGGGTTCAGTGGTGGGGCGGCACGGTGGCTCAATGGTTAGCACTACTGCCTCACAGCGCCAGAGATCCCAGGTTCGATACCACCCTTGGGCCACAGTCTGTGTGGAGTTTGCACATTCTCCCCGTGTCTGCGTGGGTTTCCTCCGGATGCTCTGGTTTCCTCCCACAGTCCAAAGATGTGCAGACTAGGTAGATTGGCCATGCCAAATTGTCCCGTAGTGTTCAGAGATGTGTAGATTAGGTGGGGTGTAGGATGACGGGTCTGGGTGGGATGCTCTGAGGGTTGGTGTGGATTTGTTGGGCCAAAGGGCCTGTTTCCACTCTGTAGGGCTTCTGTGAGAAAGACAGCGAGAGTGAAGGAGACAGCGAGCGCGAGAGAGTGAGAAAAAGAGCAAGACAGGGGGAGAGTGGGAAGGAGGGAGAGTGAGGGAAGGACTGAGAGAACTTGCACAAGTGACAGCAAGAGTGCACCTGAGAGTGGGAGTGTGTGCAAGAGAGCAGAACAGTGAGAATGAGAGCGAGGGGGGACAGTGGCAGGGAGAGCCAGCAAGAGAGAACGAAAGAAAGAGAGAGGCAGTACATCTGGAAATCAATTATGTTGCTGAAGGGTAGATGGGGCCAAGGATAAATCCTATTTCAAAACAAAGTTACTGCAGGAGGTTTATGCTTGCTTTACAAGTATTTTCTGTGGTTCAGCTGTTGTCCATGGTTACAATATTTTTGTTATGGGAAATATTGAATTGGAGTCGTATTATTATGGTCTGATACAAAGATAAATATCCTCCATGTTTACCACTTTAAATTCAGAAGCACTCATACTCAATAGTCTAACCTCAGTCTCTTTACCCCAACACTTCCATTTGCATGGAATTTCTAGAGTGAAGGATGAGTGAGATAGTGACCAAGGCTGACATCATTATGAACTACATTTCGGAGTTGGCAATAATTCCCACCTAAATTCTCAACAGAAGAATACAAATGGATACTATTACTTACATAATAGTTTGTTATCAATGTATCTTTATAATCCTAAGAGAACAAATAAATATTATTTGATACCACAGTTTAAATCTTTTATTACTATTGATCAAATCATTAAGCTGTGCACACCAAGGTAAAGTAATACAAGCTGAACATATTTATAAAAGTCCTCAAATAATACACTTCACATGTGAGAGGAAAGCAAAAATATATTTAAAGGTCAATTCTACTTTTAGGTTCTTCTCTGAATAAGCAGAGCGTGTTGCTGTCAGAAATATATCCTTACGTTTTGAAAATCTATCGGGAATGAGTACTAACCATTGGCCTCAGCACTGTTGTGTCAACCATACCCCAGCAGGAGCAGTCACCTTGAATTGGAAGGTCATGACTACATGTTTCACACCAGAGACATGAGTATATAACTTATGCTGACACTTTACTGCGGGAATATTATACTGTTGAAGTTGTCATGTTTCAAAAACTTTAACCAAGTCATTTTTGCCCTCTCAGATGGGTGCAAAAGATTCCACAATACTATTCAGAGTGCAGTTCTCCCCAAATCTTGGACAACATTTATCCCTCAGCCAACTTCACCAGCAGATTACGTGGTCATTCGTCATTGGCAGACCTTGTCATATGCCAATAGTCACTGTGTTTCCTGCATGAATTGTATTTAGTCTTGGTTGCCTATTTGACAGTGAAATGATTTAGGCCATCGCAAGAACATGAAATGCTGTGCAATGCAAATTTTTTTGTCGTACTTGACCATTGAGATGGAGAATACATTTAAGGTTGAACAGTGTGCGTTATGTATTTATCCACAATATGTTGAAAAAATATATTGTCACAACATTCTCATTAATTCTATTATATTCCTCTCAACTCAGACATTTACAGCATATAAAGAGGTCATTTGGCTCATCACATTCATGCTGGTCGACGAAGATCTGACTACACCAATCCCAGTTTCCACATGAAGACTGCTCAAATATTATGCATTTCTGACACAGCCACAATTTGTAGGCTTCAATTACAGATTTCTACCTCCTCAACACTTCTATTAGATTTCCACCTCTTTCCTTACATCTTTGTCCCAGTCTATTCCTCCCTCCCATTTTTAACATTGGAACAACATTTGCACTCGGCTGGCACCTCACCGGTGGCCAGCGAGGATTGGAAAACTGTTGCCAAGGCCTCTGATATCACCTCCCTTGCCTCTCTCAATAGCCTGCAATACTTCTCAACTAGCCCTACAAATGATCTACTTTAAAGGCTGCCAACCCTGCCCATATGTCCTTCCTCTTCATGTTAATTTCTGCTAACATTTTACAGTTCTCCACCCTGATGCCTGCACATGGGTCATCTTTTTCTGCTGTGAACACTGATGCAAAGTATTCATTGACAATTGTGCCCATTTTATCAGGCCCCAGAAACAGATAACCTCTATAGTACCTCCTCCTCTTTCCCTAATTATTCTTGGTTTTTTTTTTACATACTTAAAAACCCCTTTGGGTTTTCCTTTATGCCCACCAATGCTTTCTCATGCACTCCTTGTTTTCATATTTTCCTTTTAAATGTTTTCTCCTGGCTTTTTTATACTCATCTAGGAACTCTGCATATTAAGTCCTCAATATCTGTCGTAAGCTTTTAGTTTCTTAATTTTAACCATTATGTCCCTTGACATCTGGTCCTAGTTTCACTCTTTGTCTTTATGGGAAGATATTTGCCCTGTACTCTGACTATTTCCTGCTTGAATGTCTCCATTGGTCTGACATAGTCATATTTGCACAAGTAGTTACACCTAGTCCACTATGTTAAACTGTATTATTATTTTATATTATTATTATTTTAGTAAAATTAACCTTTCCACAGTTTGGAATTTTATTTCCCAGCTCATCCTTATTTTGTTTCTGTAACTGTCCTCAGTTATGGTCACTATCTCCAAAATGCGTTCCTATGATACACTTTCTATCTGCATAGACTAATTTCCAAATTTTCAGTCCAGAACTTCCACTCCATGTTGGCATTCTCCATATTATTTAGAATGTTTCCCTAGATGCAATTCAAGGGTTTTGCTTTCTCCTTACCTTGCACACTAAAATTAACTCAGTTAATATTTGGGTAGTCAAAAATCACCTACTTACAATTGTTCAGACTTATCATTCTTACCTGAGTGAAATTTAATAACATGTTTCATCCCCTCTTTCCTTGTAAGTTTGACGCCTTATAGTACACATCAAACAATGCCTTCCCCCCCACTTTTGTGTTTTTTTTACTTCTAGCCATATGGCTTCACTTGATGATTCTTCCAAGATTCCATATATCCACACTAGTATAATTGATTCCTTGATCAAAGTTGAGATCTTCAGCTCCCCAATCTCGACTGAGTACCCTGTAACCAGGAATGTTGAGTTGCCTAGCTTGCAGCCAAGTGATTGCCATGTCCTCATTTATTTGGGAACTATGTAATAGAAATATGTTATAAATTACACTGACCCACTTGTTACAGCATCAAAATATGGTTTTTCACTTTGTAGTTTATATTTGAACCTACTTATCAAAGACGTATCACTTTTTCTGATATATTTCTCTGTTTCAAATTCTGCATCAATATTCAAACCCTGCCTAATATTCTTGTGTATGCTGTGTTTTCGAGGTCCTTGTATAAAAACTGACATGTATAAGCATTTACTGAAAAAAAAACAGAATTTTAAATTTCTAAATTTTTTTTTCTCACTTCCTCTACTGCCCTTTCTTACCTATTTGCTTCACGTATTCCCTAATTTTTCCTTTCTCTCACTCCATCTTTCAGATTGGTCACTGAACATTTTCCAGATGGATATAATGGATTTATAATATTTTTCCATGATGAACAGGAAGATCCCTGGTAGAAGCAGTGACCTACTGAATACCATCTATGTATTTTGTCTTAAAGATGGTAGGTACAAAACAGCAACACAAAAATCACATAAATACAGATTTGTGTTAAAACCTGAGGATTACTCTAATTATAAAAATACAGAACTTCAATGGTGACATTCATATTTTGAATATTAAATCTGCAATTTTTTAGACAGGCACAAAGGTAATATGCTAAACATGCATATGTCAATGTTGAAATTCTACCAGGTCATTGACTAAATTTAACACCGTCAGTAGTTTCTTCTGTCGTTTACAGGTAACATGTCCAGTATTAACAATATTTCTACAAGGAAGGTACAGACAGTTGTCAAAAAGAAAGTTTACTTTATAGTTAATCACAACAATAAGTAAAACTACCTGCTACAACTTGAAGAATAACTGTAAATCAAGATGCTAAAAATGGCATAAGAAGCTCAAAATGAATAGGCTTTCAAGGAGGCCACAGTTACTTAGTCATAGAGTCATAAGAGTCCTACAACACGGAGACAGGCCCTTCGGCCCAAACTAGTCCATGCCGACCAAAATGTCCATCCACACTAACCCCACGTCCGTGCACTTGCCCATATCCTTCTAAACCTTTCCTATCTATGTATTTGTCCAAATACCTTTTAAATGTTGTTAATGTACCCGGATTAATCATTTTTGCTGGCAGCTTATTCTATATGCGTAGAACCCTGTGTAAAAAAACTGCCTCTCAGGCTCCCATGTATTCCTTCCCTTCTTACCTTAAACTGATGAACTTTAGGACGGCACTGTGGCTCAGTGGTTAGCACTGCTGCCTTACAGCGCCAGGGACCCAGGTTCCATTCCAGCCTCGAGCAACTGTCTGCGTGAGTTTCTCCTCCGGGTGCTCCGGTTTCCTCCCACAGCACAACGATGTGTAGGGTAGGTGGATTGGCCATGCTAAATTGCCCATAGTGCCTGGGGATGTTTAGGTTAGGTGGGTTAGACATGGGAAATGCAGGGATAGGGGAATTGGTCTGGGTGGGACGTTCTTCGGAGGGGCGGTGTGGACTTGTTGAGCTGATGGCCTGTTTCCACACTGTGGGGTTCTATGATGCCCTCTAGTCCTCAATTCCCCAACTTTGGGGAAAAAGACAGTGCATTCTCCTATCGATGCCTCTCATGATCTTATACACATTTAATAAACATACTCGCACAGTCCTAGCTTGACCAGCCTCTCCCTATAACTCAGTCCCTTGAAACATGGCAACATCCTTGTAAATTTCTTCTGCACTCTTTCCAGGTTAACAACTTCCTTCCTATAACAAGGTGACCAAGACTGAACAAAATACTCCAAGTGCGGCCTCACCAACGTCCCGTGCAACTGCAACATAACTTGCCAACTTCTATTCTCAGTGCCCTAACTGTGAAGGCGGCTAAAGTGCCAAAAGCCTTCTTTCACTGCCCAGTCTACCTGCGACTCCACTTTTAGAGAACTGTGCACCTGATCTCCAGGGCCCCTCTGTTCCACTACAGTCCTTAAGGCCCTACCATTCACCATGAAAATGCTACCTTGATTTGGCTTTCCAAATGCAACACCTCACACTTATCTATATTTGCCATTTCTTGGCCCACTTCCCCAGCTGATCAAGATCGTGCTCCAATTTCTGATAACCTTCCTCAGTGTCCACAATACCACCTATTTCAGTGTCATCCGCAAGCTTACTAATCATGCCTTGTACATTCTCATCAAATCATTGATATAGATAACAAACAGCAATGGGCCCAGCACTGACCCGAGACACACCACTAGTCACAGGCCTCCAGTCCGACAAGCATCCTTCCACTATTACATTCTGCTTCCTGCCATCAAGCCAATTGTGTATCCAATTTGCTAGTCTCCCTCAATTCAATACGATCTAACCTTCCAGAGCAGCCTACCATGTGGAACCTTATCAAAGGCCTTACTAAAATCCATATAGACTACATCTACTGCCCTACCCTCATCAACCTTCCGGATCACTTCAAAGAACTCTTAAAATTTGTGAGGCATGATCTCCCATGCACGAAGCCATGCTAAACACTCCTAATCAAATACCGTCTTTCCAAATGCTTGTATATCTTATCCTTCAGAATCTTCTCAAGTAACTTACCTACCACAGATGTTAAGCTTACTGGTTTATAATTGCCAGGTTTTTCTTTGCAGCCCTTCTTGAATAAGGGCACAACATTTGCTACCCTCCAGTCTTCTGGGACCTCACCCATGGATAACGATGATGCAAGTATATCAACCAGGGCCCCAGCAATTTCTTCTCTAGCCTCTTGCAGGGTTCTTGGATATATCTGGTGAGGACCAGGAGATTTATCCACCTTTGTACATTCTAATATTTCCAACACCTCCTGTACTGTGATATGGATTGTCTCCAAGATATTGCCACTAACTTCCCCAAGTTCCCAAGTCTTCATTTCTTTCTCCATGGTAAACACAGAGGAGAAATATTCATTGAGGACCTCACTCTTTTAAGGCCTCCCACTTGCTAGAGGTCCCTTTGCCTGCAAACAAACTACTCCAAATCAAGCCCTGCAAGTTCCTGTCTAATTCCATGAAAATTCACCTTTCCCCAATTTAGAACTTGAACCTGTAGACCAGTTTTGTCCTTCTCCAGAACTATTTTAAAATGAATAGAACTATGGTCACTGGTCCCAAAGTGTTCCCCCATTGTCACTTCAGTCACTTGTCCTGCCCTATTTCACAAGAGTAGGTTGGGTTTTGCCCCTTCCTTAGCAGGGTCCTCTATATACTGCTTGAGGAAACTTTCCTGAACACATTTAACAAATTCCTCCCCATTTAAGTCCTTAACACAATGGAACAACTGTTATCCAAAACTACTTATTAGAAATCACATAATTACTTGGTTCTATTTACTGGAAACCAAACATCTGGGGTTTGTGACTTTGTTTTGGATATTGATTCGAATTGAGTTTGGTCACAGCCAGCGGAGAGAAAGATGTTACCCAACACATTCTCTGCCTTTCTGAGAAAACCTGGTTGTGAGGCCAGTGAGAGAACTGAATTCTTGATCCAGCTGTTTTCTTGATAAGTGTCTGAAAGAGTTCTTCTTAACAATTCCTGAATGAACAGCATCTGCAAAGCTTCCAGAGATACCTGTCTGCCTTTGTCAACACGGGTTTCAGGATGCTAGCCAAAGGCATTTTGAATATTTCACAGTATCCTTTTATTCCTTTGAGAACTAACAATTATTGGCCAGAGTAATTTTATTCCAAAGTCAATTTCTGTGGAGAAAATTATTTATTTTCCTCTTCCTGATGTATGCTGGATTACTTAGAGGGGTAAATATTTATACTTCCACATGTCAGACTGTGTGTTAATCAGCCTTACATCTTTGCTAAATCAATCTTGTTTTATAATAAACAATAAATATTGTTGCTTATTAAAGAAATCTAATGGATGGATTTTTAAAATTCTTTACTTACTGTAGAGAAGGCATATAACTGGCCAAAGTGGTAACTGGGTAAACCATTGAAATATATGCTGTGGTCAGTGGAGATCTGGGATTAGACAGAGAGAGCGAGAGAGAGCGAGCGAGAGCGAGAGCGAGAGAGAGCGAGCGACAGACAATGCATTCTCCAACCTCAGTTGTAACAGAACAAAGACAGTACTTTCAGGGTCATTTTCTGATATTGTGTTTAGCATGGAGCCTCACATTGCCTCCACTCCCCAGCTCCCAAGAATATAATTTTAAATTTGAGCATATTAAATAGCACATAATTTACTTAACTGAATTAATGATCAAAAGTTGTATTGGGCATGACAACGCATTGACAATATCTGCTCTCGGAAGCCAAACCTCCATGCAAGATCCATACACTAAAACAATTAACTCACTGACACATAATGGGTGAAAAAAGAAGACCATTTTTGAAGAAAATGCTTTTATAAAAGTGTCTGGTGCAAAGTTTACTAAAATAAATAATAATAAACTTGATTGTCGATATTCAAATCTACATAGAACTAATTATATAACACAGGAGACTATTTTAAAGAGCTATGTACTAAGATCCATTCCCCTGCCCTTAAACATGGCCCTTTCTTAACTATCTATCTAATTACACTGTTGTTATAAAGTACTTTCACATCTTTCATGTGAAACATGCAATAGCTATGATTGACTATCCTTAGCTTTACTTCCACAAACTTTTGGGAAACTGGTCAGATTTGTTAGATATTTAGATCTTCATGCAGCACTCCAACTGAAAAGTAAAACTGCACTTAAATAAAATATATGACTAATGCAGATGCAACTTACCTTCTTTAACTTTAACCATACTTCCTCTCGTGAATGCCCACCCAAGAATCCAGTTAGTGCAAGGAAACAGGCCAAAAAAGAAGGAGCGAGTGCAAACTGGAAAAAGAAAGGGAAAATATCAGATACTTCATACCCTTTTTCTTCAATTTCCAAAAGTGACTTATCCAGAATGCTACAAAAACAAAGTTGCTGGAAAAGCTCACCAGGTCTGGCAGCATCTGTGAGGAAGAAAACAGAGTTAACGTTTCGGATCCGGTGACCCTTCCTCAGAACTGAATGCTGACCTTCTTAAACAGAAATACATTCATAATTAAACTGAAAACCATAGGCAAACTGGATATGTTCTGTGAAAGTGGCTTCCACTGTTAATACACATTCATTGTGGAAAATATTGTTTATTACATGCAAAAACAAGTACATTTGATTCATTACAATGCTTTTATTCCTAAACTACAGCAATCTTTGTGTCACACTTTAAAATCAGCAGAAACTGGTCGTGTGACATCAAAAACCTGTTTTCAATGGAAGATTTCATTAATTATGCAAAATAAGTATAGTTTATAATAGTGTGGCACTTGGTCAATTCAAAATTGTATGAACGAGTCATTCTGAAACAATTTGAAAACTCCCAAGAAACACTGCAAAGTTAAAGCAACACTGAATGCAGTCCTGTAATTTCTAACTTTAATGCAATAAAGAGAAGTATCTTTGTGAGATTTTACTTCTCTGTTGTCACAGCCATAATTCTGACAGATTTGCCTTCAATACTCAGTTTAAACACACATCCAGTGTAACAATGGACTATCACTGTGTTAGTTGTATGCCAGCTTTGAGCACATTAGCATTCCTGTCATGAGGAGATAAATGAAGAGAAATTTAAAATAGTTCCACTGGATAATTTAGGTAAACCTTTGACTCAGAAAAGCCCAGGCAGCAGAAAAGGCTCATCAACAAACCTTTCTAAAGTATTCCTTTAAAAAGACAATGGACATTTTTGATTTGACAACCCAAGAGTAAAATAAACTTTTACTGTGGTTCGGAGATAGCAAGAGCTGCAGGTGCTGGAGTCAGAGTCAATACAGTGTGGAGCTGGAGGGACACAGCAGGTCAGGGAGCATCAGAGGAGTAGGAGAGTCGACATTTCAGGCCTAGACCCTTCATCTTCATTAAGATATCTTTGATATCTTATTTGATATCCTACTTGGTTCGCTCAGTTGGCTGGACGGTCGTTTTGCAATGCAAAATGATACCAACAACCGTAAGTTCAATTCTTACACCAGCTGAGGTTACCATAAAAGACTCTCCTTCTCAATGTCTCCCCTTGCCCGAGACGTGGTGACCATCAGGTTAAACTTCCAGTAGTCACCTCTCACGAACGAGGGGGAAGCCTTATGGTCCTCTGGGACTACGGTAAAATATCTTTATTCCGTTACCAATTAAGATCGGTACTTGCTGCATTTTTTGTTGCAGAAAAAAAAGCTTATTTCCTCAAAACAGATAAAACATATAACAGCACATTTTTTGAGGCAAGGCTCTTACTGTCACTCAGCGGTAATGCAAATTGAACTTGGGCATGGAGGACAACACAACTAACTTGTAGAATTTTTTCATCTCTGTCAAAATGCTCAAGTTCAGTCTACTGTATCCTCTTGCAAACTTATAAAAGGTCTTTACTCCAAATTTGATATTACATTCATCCTCCCTCCATTCTACCTCCACCCAACAATCCAATCATTTGCCTGCTTTGGGTGCAGTCTCTGGATGCCTGTGCAAACTCTTCTCAACTATTACGCTCTCCACTGCACCCTTAAACACTTGGCTAACTTCCTCATTTAGGTCTATTGTTTACTTTACTATGGTGAAACAGTCTGGAATAGTTTTTGAATTTACAGATGATAATAGAAAAGTAAATCTGTTGTTCTGTTTTACCTGATCAAGTAACATTTTCTTAAATGCCACAGTTTTGCTCTTTCCGACAACAAGGCGATCTAGCAATTTATACCATGCTCCAAGAACAGGACCCTATGGTAAAGGGGTTAAAATAAACACACAATGACATCACTTAAGTGACTGGGAATTGTAATTTCATAAGTGTTTACAGTGAATCAATACTGTCAAAACTACCCTTGCACGGAGGGTATAACTGCGTCAAGTCTGCTGAATTTTCAGCTGATCTCTCCCCAACACATCTTGAGTATTGGAATGGAGAGCAGTCATAGTGTCAAATAATTACTAATATGAAATTATCTGCATTATGTTAGATTACTTTTTTACTTTATTACTACATGATAAGTTAGCAGTTGTGTCTAAAGAGTTGCTGCCATCATCTCCAATTCTCTTCCCTTGTAGTTATTATATATAGTGGCTCATACCACATTAAAAGGACCCACAGAAATCAACAGTCCTCTAGTTACTTAGTCATAGTCATACAGTCCGACAGCAACACGACAGGCCCTTCGGCCCAAACTGGTCCATGCCGACCAAAACATCCATCCACGCTAACCTCGTTTCTGTGCACTTGCCCATATCCTTCTAAATCTTTCCTATCCGTGTATTCGTCTAAATGCCTTTTAAATGTTGTTAATGTACCTGCCTCAGCCACTTCTGCTGGCAACTCATTCCAGATGCGTAACAACCCTCTTTGTAAAGAAGTTGTCCCTCAGGTTCCCATGTATTCCTTTGCCTCTTACCTTAAACTGATGCCCTCTAGTTCTTGATTCCCTAACCTTGGGAAAAAGACAGTGCATTCACCCCATCCATGCCTCTCATGATTTTATACACTTCTATAAGATTCCCCCCTCAGTCTCCTATACTCTAAAGAAAAAAGAATCCTAGCCTTTCCTACCTCCAAATAGTCTTTCATTCAGCACAGAGACTAAAAACCCCAGGGGTGGAAATTATCAGGTTCGAGAGATTTGTCAGTCTTTAGTGCCGTTATTTTTTCTAATAGTATTTCCTTGCCTAGGCTAACTTTTGTGAGTTCTAGTACTTGATTTATTATTAAAATGTCAGGAATATTATCGCTGGAATACATTATTACCCTCTTTACTTACAACAATGACTGGCAAATATTATTCAATGAGTCTGGCAACTTTTTTTTTAAAATCTTGCAGGATTAGTTGCATCAGGTTTTTAAAGGGCCCACATAATCCCTAAATCGTCTTTGTGTTAATCTTGATTTTCCATTAGTGCAGGCCTTTTAGGGCTGTTGCCAGGAATGCTCTTTGGAGGACTAGTTCAGAATCAATGGGCTGAACAGCCTCTTTCTGCATTTTAGGGGTTTATGCCATCAATCTCTACGGCTAATTTTTGTTACAGTTTTCTGACTCCAGGTCAATATCTTTTTGGAATATTTGCATCAAGTTAACTTTGTGGCTTGATTTTTGTGTCAAAATGCCTTATCTTCAAGGACATGATGACCCTGATGGCTGGCCAGCATTTGGTGTCTCTAAGGCAGTTTTGGAGCTCCTGGAGGTCTCTCTCTTGTACAATACTGTTGTCAACACGTGCCAACATTTAGGTGCACCCATTTTTGTTTCAGTTTATCAGCTTGTTGGAATTTTGTGAATGTGCTGGTAAGTCAGACTCACCACATGCATAGAAACAAATAGCTATTGGAGTTTACCAATGCCACAGGCTTTGAAATTATTAAAAGTGATAAGTTTATCTGGTGTGGTATTCCTCTGATGATCCTGCTGAAAATGTTGTTCTTTAACCTCATCTGCTTGTGTAATTGTTTATGCATGGAACTGTTAAGTGTTATATACTAATGTCTAGCAAGCAATTCAAATTGTGAGCCAGTTTTTGATTCTTTGGGAAGTGAGTTAAGCTTAGATGTCAATTCAGATCGAATGGCAAAGCCCACAGTTGATTTGCCAGTCCTGTAGGATGTGTAGCTTCTGCCTCCTTCCTTAAGATGAGACTCCTCATTGTACCTGCTCGGCATGCTGGCTCTTCCACAGCATCAATCTGCATGAGTGGTTCATCAGCAGGTCAGGAAGGCAGCCCACTAACCTGCTCATCTCAGCTAAAGATGGGTTACAAATGTCATCAGCAAAACTGGCCCCAACAATGAATTTAAACATGGTTAATGCTATTTATTAATTGTGTTTCAATCTTTCTTACAAGATGGTCAGTTATTAACATATTTATTGCTCAAATTATTTTAATTTTTCTAAAAATCATTTAAATCTCTCTTATTTTCCAGCAAAAGGAATGGATAATGGCTGGCATCAACTCTCGGCAAATGTAACAGATCTGCAATAGTTAGTTTGAAAGCAAGCGAACGTGTCATAGGGTGTCACCTCTGTCAAGTCTCTTTATAGGATGAAAACACTTTACCACTGCTTGAAACTTCCTTGATACAAGACTTCTGTCCAAACTGGTGACTCCTTACTTGGAGATTATGCCTTCAGGTCGTAGAGTTTCCCAAGGGGGAAACAGCCTATCAGTATCTTACCTGTCAAGTCCCATAGAATGTTTTACACGCTTCTAAACTCCAAGTACAAAAAAAGGGAGGTGTAAATTGGATACCAGAAACAGCACCGAAAAATTGTTTAGTCTGAGGTCAATGCTGAAAAATTGCATTTTAGTCATATATCGCCTAGAGGAGTTGGACAATGAAATCTTGTAAGGAAAAGCTGTAAAAATCCTTGAATGTTCGTTAAGGTTGCCAGAAATCAATCAGAAAAACAGCAGTG